ATTGACATGACAGCATTGAACCGTCTTTAGTTTGGTACTTTCGTCATGCTCATCTGTTTGTTTTTCTGTTTACTGTGACACTTGTTAGCCTAATTTGAAGCGTGGTGGACATGGGTACTATTTGATGGGGGCAAATTTTGTGTGCAGCAAAATGTTTGTTTAGATTTCTCAATCAAAATTACATCGTGGTTTCTTTAAAAATAATTCTCTAATTCCAGAATAATTTGGAAATTTACTGTATAATCTCTTTCCTGGTACACTTTCAAAGTTTTATCTTGCATTATCTTGCATGTCTGCAAAACATTACATGATATTTAGGAGCTGTGCCTTTTAGAACACATTGGGTACAAGGATGAATTATAAACATGTAGCCAAGCCCCTTTGACAGTACAAGTGTACAGTTATTTTTTCACAAAAAAATTGTGAAACCTAAGACAGGTGTTTGAATAATAATCACGGGCACAGATGCAGAGAAGTCTTGTACATTTGTTAAAAGTAGACCAACTCTTCTTGGACTCAAGTGGCTTTTTGGGCAGTCACAATTTGTGTCTTTACTCCGAATTTGCCCCTTCAAATAGCACTCATGTCTACCATGTTTCAAATAAGACAAAGTGTCGCTATAAACATCAGACAAGCAAGACAGAAGACAGTTCAATGCTGTCATGTCAATAAAAATGACGACAAACAAGACCAGACAAGATGCTAAAGATCGGGCCACTTTCATCTTACCTTCTTGTACGAGATACCTCACGTAGGTCAGGAGCCAGAATCGATACTCCTTGGCTGACTTCAACGCTTGGGCCGCCGAGAGCTGATTCTCCAGGTAACTCATCGTCGAGGCTTGCTTCAGGCTGAGGTTGGCCTGGAACACGCCGCGGGACTGCCTGCCCGCCCTGGTGAGAACAGATCCAAATATAGACGTGGGCTAATTATAGTGATTACCAGCTGTGCACGTCTCCTCACACAGGCAAGAACCTGCAGCTGCCCAACTGAGAACCTGGGACCAATTTCATATATCTGCTCAGCATATAAATCTGCTAAGCAACGAAAATACATGCTTAGCAAAAATAGGTTACCGGCCAGAGTGCCATGCAAAGTATATTACTTCCCGTGGTGTTCAGCCGCTGATTTTTGCTGAGCCTCAAATTTGGGTGCAAGACATTTATTGCACAGTCCTTTGTACAGCCAAAGCACCTACTCTTTGAAATAAGAGAACAACAACATTGACCGGGGGAATTATTTTACCTAAGTGACTGGCCATGAAGCATAGTCAGTGGTCCCGAGACTCGCAGTGCATCCTGGGAAGGCTGGCAGGACTGATGGTCCGAGCACTGGCTGAGGATGTCGCCTTGCTGACTGAGTAGCATCCTAGATAGAGGAAATAAAGAAAAATTAAGACGCGTTTTGTGGTTTGGACCCCTAAAGACCATCATGAGGCCTTCAGTCTGAATTCAAGGCACAAGCTTTTTAAATAAACAGCGGCAAAGGCATCCCGTAGTCATTATTCATCCTGTTATATGTTACTAGCCATGTGACTGGTCATGTGACTGGTCTTATAAATTGATCAAGCTTGAGCACAAGGTGAGAACAAACCATTTTCTTCCAACAGTTGGGAAGCACATCCCTAGACTGGTTTGAGAAAATCAGGCTGTATCATGAATAAACTTTCTGTCAAAATGATGTTTTGTAAAGCGTTCAGCAGCAAACTTATCAGAGCCAGGCTACTGCACAAGACTACATGCCCTTAGAATTCCCCAAAAATTCTGCATTTTCTAGACGTTTTCATGTGACTGAACCCAATTAAGCCTTCGGTGATCTTTTGTAACCAAACAGAGCAGAGTCCCTGAATATTCACAACATAGTATAGTAAGAAAACGCACTTCAACTTTTTGAGGGTGATGAAAAACTCTTACAACACTTACCAACATGACATGGATGAACTATAGCTATATGACCTGCCATTAGACAGCGAGACAGCTGGTACCCCTTGCTCGGTTATCAGTGAATTGGTGATGTTCAGATCAACACCTGGAAAAAAGGATGGAAAAAGATTATCCACAAAGAGAATTGAAAGCTACAAAGAGACAAAATCACTTCAACTGTTTAGATTAAACTTCTTCCAGCAATAACAAGCAATAGGGTGAATGAAAAAATTGATAAGACAATGTTGATACCTTTCATGATAGGGAGTAACGACTCTCTCCTAACCACGGCTCTCATCTGCTTCAAGTCCCTGTGGTCCAAACAAAAACATTTCATATTAACAATGAATAGGTTGATTTGTCTTTTAAAAAGAATCCTAAGGCAGCTCAAGACTAGTCTGCCTAAACATGAAGGCAAATTTCTGACCCTGTGGCCCGAGTTGGTATTTTATACATGCCAAGACATTTCAACTGTGGCAAACCTTGCTGCAAGAATTTTTTGACGACACACGCTGCACTTGCGTGAAGTCTGAATGGACGTGGGAGTTCATCTTCAAATCTTTGCCCTCAAAAAATTTCAATTTATTTTTTTCAATTCATGTATCAATCTCTTCTTGACCTTACCAGACATACAGCATTCCCATCGATGTGATAGCCATCGCATAGCGGCTGCTGCATTGCAGTATGCTGACCACAGAGGGCAGCAGACAGGCCGGGACTAACCTCCGACCTCCCACGGAGAACATGTTGACTGTTTGGTTCTCGCAGCTCACGCACACGACAAAACTGAAATTGTGACAAGATTCAGGAATTGTTATCAACTGCACTAAAACATGAAGATTATTTGATACAATGACTTTTCACATCAAGAAAGAAAAATGGAGTGAAAGGGGAAATCCAGCCTGTGCATTAAATGTGAATTCCAGTGTGCTACAAACAGAACTGCCAAGACGGAAGCTTGGCAGAATCCTTTTCTCCGTGGTTCTAGTCAGAGCCCAAGAAACCATAAACGCCATGTGGGTAGGGATCCTGCCCCCAAATCATGATGCCAGCAACATTAACAATGCTGCAAACCTGCCTAATGGATTTTAGTCATCACCAAAGGACATACCATTTCAAATATGAGGTTCCTTTGACAAACATCAAATTTTTTCTATTGTTCACAATTGATCTTAAAATGAAAATTTAAACTTGTTTTCATCTTGTTTACTGTCAGTAAAAACCACAGATGAGTCATTCTATAAATTAGGGGTCCAAAAAAGTGTGACATTTGTGTCCGTTACACCTGACCTTTGTAATTTGACATGGAAATATCACTGGAATTGATTTCAAACTATTACTACAGTGGAACGTTGCTATACCGAACATTTGACTATACCGAACATCGTCCTCGACTCCCAATAATTTGTGCACAGAACCTAACGAACACTATGCAGTTGCCGTTTGTAATTCTCGAACGTCAACATGATAAAACAGTCAGTGTTTTTTATGTTGGAAAGTGACAAGTGGCCATTATTTCCCAAAGGGTTAGAAGGGAAAGCCACTAGTTGTTAACGGTATTGAATGGACACTGGTTTTGCAACTCTGCATGATCGGGTGCGGAAGAAAACTGCACGTACGAGCACAGTGGCATTACACTAACAATACAATGTAGTCTAAAGAGGGCACCGCTGATACACAAATCAACCGAGATTCGCCACAGCATGCATCACAGATCGATCCTGAGCGGCGGCTTCACGACTTTTAGGATAAACTTGATATCAATTTTGTAACTCAAGATTTAATAAAAAACAAAAATAATTAACGGATACATTTCTAGAATCCTTAAACGTGAATACAATGGCAAAACATCAAGAAAACAGCGAACCATAGTATCACAAGAGGGTGCACTTCAGTTAGACAAGAGACGGCTCTATTCAACAAGGCAAGGAAACATTTGGCAGTTAATTTCGCTATACCGAACAACCGCTGCACCAAACATTTAATGCGGATCCCGTCATGTTCGTTATAGCGGCATTCCACTGTATTTGTTTGGCAGGGTAATTTGCATTAATTCATCACTCTTGGAAATTCAGACGTGACAGAGACACAAAAAACATGGACACCTAAATTTCTGGAATTAACCACGTACATGTGCAGCAGTGACCCTAAGACTGCTTGGCAAACAGATCCCATTTACAGTACATTCCCTAACATACAAAACAATTGCAAATGCAACGTTGTGAAATGACATGTAGTCATCTTCTACAACAACCACAGTGCATGTACTCCATTTCAACTTGCCTGAATTTGGCTGCGACTGCCTTATGACGTTGAATTAACAACTTGTACGAGGGCAAGCTAACGTTTTATCTGCGCGCTTTCGGGGGATTAGCGACCTAATTTCTCAAGTAACAACGGTTAAAAATTCCTCCACGTGAAATTCTCTCCCCACCTAATGTGGGTTGAGTCTACTACTGCACGCCTGCCAGATTACCAATACAAACGCATTATTTCTTAGTTCATTACTTCCATTCGCTAAATTCTCGGTCACTAATAGTGCGCCCCCACTCACTCGCCCATCGCGAAGACATCAGCCGTGTTCGTCCTCTTTTTCGATGCGCGAAGTGCGGCGAAGCCGTGTGGGGAGGAAGGAGGGAGATTGGTAATCTGGTAGGTATGCAGTAGAAGACTTGTTCCATTCTAGGCCGGGGGAGAGTCTACTGCCTGCAACCTACGCAGATTACCAATACATATGCAGAGTTGCCCCAAACCAATGGACGGTGGGAAGGCAAGGACGCACTACCAGTATCTAGCCTTCTTACAGTGACTACTTGAGTGCCTCCTCCTGCAGGGGTAGAGACTGGTCTGCAACGGTGCAACTGCAATGCCATCCAGCCTACAGTCAGGCCATGTGTATGGCCCCCCGCAAACATCATCGAGGTAACAGGAGGTGAATGGGGTATGGGTTTCCTTACAAGGCTCTCTACAAATCTCTATTACAGGAAACCCTTTGAAATAGGCTCCCTACTGATGAAACGGCCTGGACATCATGGGCACAAATGTGTCATCTCCTTTGGTCGTCTGGGCCAGAAGGCCAGTCAACATAGCAAACTTAATAGCGTGTCGGACCATGAAAGGAGGACGCCCAAAGATACGGAGTACCGCTGAAGGTAGACGAAGTACCTGTTCTTGTGGTCTCGGCAAAGAGGCTATTAGTGGCACGTCCCAGGAGACCTCATTACAACCCATGCTAAGGGTAGCCTGAGGTAAATGGTCGTAGCGTTATCTAACATGTAGACATGTAGATAACTGCCAACATACACTAATGGAAGATGTTGACATTGCGCATGTATATAAGCCTAGCGTTGTGGATCGTGATAGAGTCGGGTGAGATTTCTTAGCTTTTCAGCTGATTTCAGCTTTTTTTGTTTGGGATTTCATTTTTTTTTCTCACTGGTTGTGTACAAAAGTATAGGAGATTTTCACATTTCGGCTTCTTTATGTCTTTTTCAACTGTTTTCAGCAATTTTTATCACTGGTCAATCTCATCCCTGTACGGTGGCAAGGTTTGACGTCTGTGAAAATCAGCCATTTGAAACTGACGATGCTTGCAGCCGAGGAAATCCAAATAGCGAAGGCGAAACTCTCACCTTAAGGGTAACGATAGAAGAAGCACAATACCTCTCAGCTTTGATTCCTGGTCCACTTTTAGTACGGAGAGATTGAACAAGGCCCTGAATTGTAGCCTACGACGAAGGTGAAAGGAATGCCATGGGACTATCACCCAACAAGAGTATGTGTAAAGGATATCATCAACGGACCACTATCCAGGAATGAAGCAGCTATTGGGAGCAACAAAGGAAGAGGATGCCTGGCGTCAGTGTTGTCTTAGGGATAGAAGTCAATTTGGGAAGCACATAGGTAGCTGAGACAACAAACAGTAGCTACATGTAATTGGCGATTGCAGTACTTAGTCCTGTAGAAGAGAATCGGTTTAATACTGCACATATCGGCATTGAAATGGAGTTCATACTGTTTGTCATGTCATGAAAACGAAAAACTGTGTACTCCAGTGTAAATGTTACCCTAGGAATCTGGGTAAATTAATTCTCAGGGTTAGGAAGGTCTAATGGTCTAAATAACAGATATTTGTTCTGGCCAATTCTGACAGAATCGCTAGGAGTCTGGTGCAGAATAACAGCAACTAGATGTTCCATGTCGAGGCAGAGCTGACAAAACGTGGACACTAGGGTACCAAGGGACTGGCTCAGTCACATTGCGATATGTCTGTTTTGTTGTGTGAATCTTTCCGTCGGAGCGGACGTCTGTGAAGGAGTTACTGGCTTTGAGACGTGAGTTACCTTTAAGTTAATCCCAAAGCCTAGCGCTCGTTGGAACATCCAACTTACAGGAGGCTGAGGCATAGTAAGAGTGTACCTCAGTAGTGATTTATCCAATGAAGTGACAATGTGCTAACCCACGTACTCGTGCATGAAATTTGAAAGTTCCAGATTAGGAGTGCCCCATGAAGATCAGGCAGTGTTAGTAGAAACCAGTAGTTGAGCGCCCATCTGTCAGTTTCAACTGTTAACAAAGTGTATATCTTGACGGCAAGAGGTATCAGGTTTTGAGGATTTCCCCCCAGGCCAAAGATAAGCATGTGGGATAAAAAGCCCAGGTGAGAGGATCGGAGTGGAAGTAAAACAACATCCAAACGAAGTCCGGATTGAACCGGACAGGCGTTGTTGTCAGTTGCTGTAACAGGAACCCATGCACATGTAACAATTGCCTGTATCAACAAAGGTAGGAATCCAATAAAGACCCCAGTCAAACGAACGGCAGCCATGACTGCGGGAGGGTAGCTGAATGAGCAGACAAAGGTATGTTTGCTAGAACCTTGGTACCATAGATAGTGCCTAGAAATTTGGGCATTGAAGGCACCTGCAAAGCATTAGTGTCAGACCCAAGGGGATGGGGGCAGTGTCAAAATTCCCTCTGGTCTATGTCCCAAGCCCTGCCTGTGAAGACTGAGTAGGCAGAGCAGGATTTGACTGGGGCACTGAAAATCGGCGAGGGAAGGAGGACCAGAACTGTTCCATTGTATCTCCTCCAAATCTTTCACGACCACCAGTAAGTGCTGGACAACAGGGGAAAATGTTGTCAAGCTGTAAAGGAAGGTACTCCGACAAGCCATGAACAATGAAAAGGTCGGAGACTGGAGAAAATTCCTTGAGGCCCAAATATATGAGGGTTTGACTCTCTTTATCCAGCAAGGACTAGTTAAGTCGGGTGGAAGTTGCACCTTGTGACAATGAACAGCTCCAGCACATGCGGATGTTGGTGAAGCATTTCTGGAGAATGAAAAGTGAGCCACAGACGTTCCTCTATTGAAGGACTCCAATTGTTTTACCGCATGCATGGGGAATTAAGGTCTGAGCATATGCATCCGGCTAAAGTGAGAAAAAGCTTAGTCTCAAATGGAGAATCCGTCAACAATACAAGTATTTGTCACCAATGTTGGTCCTGCCTAATGGGGACAAATTTAATCCCACTTTTCCCACTGTCAGGACCCGCAGAACTGTGAACATGAGAAACTACTCCGATATTCCAAATATATATATATATATTCCAACATTTTCTGACAAACGCAAGTATACATTTAAAAATCAGACAAACCCTGCCGAGTATACCTCTTCATATCAATCACACAGGTGTACTCGGAGGAGAAAACCCAAGAACATTCATACCCATTCTTGCGGCTGAAGGTAGACCAACTCTTGTCGGACCTCATAACAGTGACAGTAAATGAATTTGGACACACCCACATCAGAGGATCTCGCATTTGGAGTCTACTACTGTGTAAAGTTCGGTGAATTTGGATGCCTAAAATGTGGATGTGCATTGGAGGAAGCAACAGTAGGACAAAATCTAAACGACATAGTCACCAGGGCAGACCCAGAAATGGAGGACAGTCTGCCCGTGGCTCGCTGTTGATGAGTACACGGCTAGGTTTCGCAATGACAAAGCCTAAGACAGCAGTGAGATCAGGCGTGTGAAGGTCATAAGGGGTCTGCCGGCATAGTGCAGAGCTATCTCCCGCATGTCCCGTGTAAGTTTACACCCGGTAGGGTGCTCGTACCTAGACTAAGTTGTATTCACCGGAACAGCCCAGGGAGTGAAGGAGAGTCGGACGGGATAATGCACTTCTCTGTTTCTCGGCTAAGCGTCCCCAGCGCTGGTCAGGCGCTGGTACGTAGCATAATGAAAGGAGTTGTTTAAGCCACCGCTCCCGCTGAGTGTACGTGACTTGGTGTCGTATTCACCAGAGGCCACCCCAGAAGACAATGTAGGGTGGCCCGGTAAACGGTAACAACGTACTCTACGTCTGAATGCTGGCTGAGGCACAGACATAGCGATTAACAGTGTACAGAGGTCTCGACAGCAAAGCACACCACCTATCTGCGTTGTGGTCTGCCTCGTGCCTGCGTTACCCATATCATGTCCACTGGGGCCACATTGGCTACGGCATGGGGTGGCCCTGTAGCATGTCCATTTGTACATTGTAGCCTCTACCCACGCCAGAATGCCCCAAATAAAAAATGACTGAGGGCAGCGGTTGAAGGCATAAGGTGCTCAGTAAGCCTCTTGGTTGGAAGAAAGCGCCCGGGAGTCATCCTACTGAACTGGAGAACAACAAGCGGGCACAGTGACTCCCAGAAGGGGATCAGCAATAAAGGCAGGCCAAAAGCCCTGACGTTGGAGTACGTCTATCGGCATCCCCGTGCGAAGAACATCAATTTTTTTTTTTTTGTTCTGTGGGTTTTTTTTGCCATAGTGGTTGGGTGAGAAGTTGTTGCCAGAAAACAACCGCAAAGGGCAAGGAAACACTTGCCAACAAGCAACCCAAACAGTCAAGCAGGCCACGCCCAGTCAAACTCGACTGTGAGGAGTTCAAATTCTACAGGTACTGCAAGCGTTGGGGCCTGGCTGCAATAGGGGGAGCCTGAAAGCCCCAATGATGGAGTAGGCCCAAGGACTCAGTGTCCCCGAATGAAGAACGGACCAGAGCGGGCCCAGTCCTGGATGCTAACAGATCTCAATCGGAACAGAAACAGGCTAAAGCCGCCATCTTTTCAGTCACAGTGGTTGGGTGAGAAGCCATTGCCGGAAGCCAACCAACCTCAAAGGATAAGGGAACACTAGGCGAGAAGAGACCCAACAAATCCAGCAAACTCGATGGTGGAGAGTTTAAGTTCCACAGCCACCACAAGCTGTGAGGACCTGGCAGCAACCACATGCAATGTACAGCGGTGCACTAGGATGAAGAAGCTGCCTGTAATGACCGAACAGCGTTCTCTCAAACAGCAAAGCGCCAGGACCCATCCCTATTCGTTGACGTAAGGGACGACTTGAATGCGCTCCCACCATTGGGGAGTTAAGCGTGAGACGTGCTCACAAGAAAAGACTTACAGACAACGGTGAACCAACACCAGGAGCCAAGCTGACTGCATGGTGCCAAGTTACGTCCCGAGCTGCCTGCGTAAGGGGCGTACTCGCATGCACTCCAATCGAGGAGGAGCGGAAGCGGGCTGAACACATTGCTTGAAACTCGAAGCGGTCCGTAAGGTGAGATGCGCTCACTGGAAAACCCCTGCAGATAATGGCTCACCAATACCGGGGAGCCNTATACAACTGTCTTTTGTTCACGAACCTGGCTCAGTGCACTGCTGCCCTCTTTTCAATAGGGGCCAGATTAGCATGCAGCAGTGCTGTGTGGCTCATCCCTGCGGTGGTGGAGCGCTTTTGTCCCCGGTGGTAGTCCGCTTGCTCTCAATGCCCCAAACCCTGGTATACGGTTTCAAAACAACGCTGGATTATCACCACTTTTGGGAGTGAAAAGTGCCGGTAATGCCCAGCAGCCTGGTCTTTTGTTCAGAGTACGGTCTTTTGTTACAGGGCCCTGTTTCCTTTGTCCGAGTTCGAAAACCCCGGCCACGCATATAAACCATACGGCTCTGATTTCGGAGTCCCCGGCAGGTAGTGGTTAACAGTGTACAGAGGTCTCAGGAGCAAAGCACACCAGCTATCTGCGTTGTGGTCTGCCTCGTGCCTGCGTTACCCCTATCATGTCCACTGGGGCCACATTGGCTACGGCAGGGGGTGGCCCGGTAGCATGTACATTTGTACATTGTAGCATCTACTCACGCCAGAATGCCCCAAATAAAGAACGACTGAGGGCAGTGGTTGAAGGCATAAGGCGCTCAGTAAGCCTCTTGGTTGGAAGAAAGCACCCGAGAGTCATCCTACTGAACTGGAGCTGGAGAACAACAAGCGGGCACAGTGACTCCCAGAAGGGGATCAGCAATAAAGGCAGGCCGAAAGCCCTAACGTTGGAGTACGTCTATCGTTTTTTTTGTTTTTTGTTCTGTGGGTTTTTTTTACCACAGTGGTTGGGTGAGAAGTTGTTGCCAGAAAACAACTGCAAAGGGCAAGGAAACACTTGCCAACAAGCAACCCAAACAGTCGAGCAGGCCACGCCCAGTCAAACTCGACTGTGAGGAGTTCAAATTCTACAGGTACTGCAAGCGTTGGGGCCTGGCTGCAATAGGGGGAGCACGAAAGCCCCAATGACGGAGTAGGCCCAAGGACTCAGTGTCCCCGAATGAAGAACGGACCAGAGCGGGCCCAGTCTTGGATGCTAACAGATCTCAATCCGAACAGAAACAGGCTAAAGCCGCCATCTTTTCAGTCACAGTGGTTGGGTGAGAAGCCAACAAGTCGAGCAAACTAGATGGTGGAGAGTTTAAGTTCCACGGCCACCGCAAGCTGTGAGGACCTGGCAGCAACCACATGCAATGTACAGCGCTGCACTAGGATGAAGAAGCCATGAGTAATGGCCAAACAGCATTCTCTCATACAGCATCACCACTGTCAACGTAAGGGACGACTTGAATGCGCTCCCACCATTGGGGAGCGGAGCATGAGACATGCTCACAAGAAAAGACCTGCAGACAACGGCGAACCAACACCGGGAGCCAAGCCGTCTGCATGGTGCCAAGTTACGCCCCGAGCTGCCTGGGTAAGCGGCATACTCGCATGCACTGCAATCAAGGAAGAGCGGAAGCAGGCCGAACACGTTGCTTGAAACTCGAAGCGGTCCGTAAGGTGAGATGCGCTCACTGGAAAACCCCTGCAGATAACGGCTCACCAATACCGGGGAGCTGAGCCAACTGCAGGGTGCCGAGTCATGCCCTGAGCTGCCAGCGTAAGGGGCATATTCGCACGTGCTCGGAACACGGAGGAGCGGAAGCAGGCCAGACACGTTGATCAATGCTCAAAGAGGGCAGTGGGGTGAATCTCCCTCACCAGAGAAATCCCTGCGCTTCGGCAGCACAGAGTTCTGTTACGGTGTGCCAAGCAGACCCGCAAATGGCAAACTCAACTTTGGCAGTAGTGGAGCGGGATCGAATCAGAGATACCGGATCTCAGGGCCTGCGGGCGTGAGGCGTAAGTACCAGATACCACACCAGTACCACTGCTACGAGTTCACGAATACCATTCGATGAATGAAGAGTGAACTTGTGTGCTCGACAGTACAGTACTAGAGCAAATAAGGGTATCGCAAGGCCATACCCCGGACCGGCCAATGGGAGGGAATATTTAACCATGCACAGTCCTATTCCCTGGCTTAGCAAGGACCGAAACCAACGCACCACTGTCCTTACTAATTAAGTGATCCATGGCCCGCAAGCGGGCAAATATCTCAAAGTGGGGTGAAGACTAACTCAAATTTCCCTCCGGTTCTCGATTATCTAATACACAGAATACACAGAGAGAAAAACCAGGGATGCCGAAATATATGGTACTTATGAAAAATCGACAAGCAAATTTTAGAAATATCAAAAAACCAGAAATGCCGAAATACATGGATATATGAAAAACAACAAGCAAAATATCCGAAAATAACAAAACAACTGCTTTCAATATAACTAATCACATTATAAACAAGAATGCCACAACTGGGGAGAATCATAGAATATAAACAAGCAAGCAAAATGAATACACACACATACTCAATATATTCTGAAGCAATGGAAATATATTTAACCAAAAACAATAGCGCCACCTGGCGAACGGGTCAATACAAGGTCAGTCTGCCACCTGCACAAGACTGAAAAGAAAACAGTAAAATATCCAGAAATAAATGACACAAGAGTTAGAACAAACAAACCAAGGTGATCGAGGAATAACACTGAAACACGCGTTAGCAAAGAAAAAACTCCCAAAAATTCGGAGCCGGAACAATACGTTCCAAAAAGTAATGGCGCTAAGAAAACGAGGATGAACATGGCCAACACCTTTGCGGGGGCGAGTGAGTGGGGGCGCACTATTGGTGATCGAGAATTTAACGTATGGAAGTAATGGACAAGGAAATAATGCATATGCATTGGTAATCTGTGTAGGTTGCAGGCAGTAGACTGAATGTGTTCCGCACCTGTTTCCAGTGACGATTATTCCTCGGCTGGTCAGTACAGCCTCCCACACCATCTCACTGTCTCTGCTACCTCGAAGTTTGTGCACAGTGGTCCCTGGGAAAGAAAACAGACAAGAAAAAAACAGAACAAAAAATGAGCAGTTCAGTAAGACTTGTTCAGGTAAACCTACATGTTGTGTAAAAAGTATTTGTCAAGTGGCAAAATCCTCTTTTCAAGTTTTACAGGACTCTAATGGGAGGTCAGGCTTAGTTCTTTCTTCTTAATTCTTTCTCAAAAGGGTGGCAGAATTGAAACTGGTTTCTCAATATGATGCCAAGATTTTTTTCCAGATAAGGATCAGATGGCAGCAGCAAAAGATATTGCAGTTTTATCCTAACTCCTTTGCTGCTCGCACCCAATGATTTTCTTAACCATTTGCCGCCAGGGATTGCAGTTTTGGACACGTATTTTTTATATGTGTGGCCGGGGTCTCCGAAATCGGACAAAGGTAACTGGGCCTTGTAACAAAAGACTGAAGTCCGAATTAGCAGGGAACCACTCACAAGTAGTATACACAGTGTGCTACCTAAGCATGTATTTCCACTGCTTGAAAAAGTTTCCATACTTCAATCCATGAAGACGGTTCAAGTTGTTTCAGACTTACCCCCAACGGTGACATTGTTCTCAAGTTCCACCACCAGTTCTGGTTCATTGGACCCGCTCCGCTGAGGGATTTTGAACTCTGTGTTTTTCGGCGTCGGTGGAATAGGGATCTTAATCGAAGGCTTTGATAGTCTACTTGTCGCTTCACTCACACCCTAGACAGAATCAATGGTGAAACGCATTATCCAAAGCTAATTGAACAGTTAGATGGAGTATTCCAGTAGGGAAAAAGTCTTGAAGTTGTGGCTTAGGCTTAGAAAGAAATGTCCATGTATAGGAAGCCACTTGCTTGCGGCTGTGGCCACTTCCTATAGACTCTTGTTACTTCAAGCCACAGCCTCTTGGTTTGGACAAGGCCCAAGACCAGCCATGTTCAATCATGCCCAGCAACCATCGTCAACCAAAAATTTGTCTGGTATCCAGGATACATTTTGTGCACAGGTTACAAGGGAAAATGAACCAGAGATTGACGAGTGATCGCTGACAGAATTTGGCAACAGACTATGGTTAATGTTTGGGTTCTTTATTCATCTTTAATCTCCAATGACCTTCAACCTCTGGCATAAAGAGCCAGAGAACAACCAATGCACGATCCTCCCTTTGACCCTTGAAGTTGGGCTGACTAGTAACAATTCCCACACACTCAAGCAATTAGCCAGAACTTTGGCCATATATTCAATCTCCGAAGTTAATGATCTTAGCTCCAGACTCACTGCAGTGCCTGCGACTGTCACTGTAGCCGCTGGTGCTGTGCTCGCTGCGTTTGCTGCAGCAGCAGCCGCGGCAGCGGCTGCAGCGGCTGCTGCTATCCTGGCCTGGGTCCTGTACTCCCTTCTGGGCTTCTTGATGACGGCCTTGTCCGGGATAATGTCTTTCCTCTTGGGAGTGGTTGAAAGGGTGGTGCGCGGAGGGGCGGTGACCGTGCTGGTCAGAGTTGTTGATCTGGGCGCATTGTTAAATTGCCAAAAAAAAAAAAGCCAAACTGAGACCAGATTCAACAAAATGAGTTTTAAGGACTTTGAAAGGACGCACGTCTTTAGCTTGCATTAGAAGCAACACTATTTTCCCATTTTGATGTATCACTCCTTTTGATATCTGCCAGTGAAAACCGCCACAAGTTAAAAACTGATATCCACTGGACAGGATTTTTTTCAGAGGCATATAACTCTGAAGTAGCTCAGGTGCCTTGACTCAAATGAAGTCACATTGACTTTTTTCCCCCTGATTCAAGGTTAATACTGGGGACTTATTTTCTAGACGCGGAGACAAGATTTCACTTCATTTTTCATCGGAAACTGATTGTCAATTCCCCCGAAATGAATATTGAAACCATGCCTTCAGTAATGAGAAACCTGTATTGTTCAGTTTGGAATCTTATTGAAAATGGAGATTGTGTGGGTGATAACATAGTTGGTTCATATCAATATGCATTGTGAAAGATTATTTTAAAGGCCTGCGACTGAAAACTGGTTTTGATGGTTTAGACCATTCGTGGTTTAGAGAATAGCAGTAGAGATGGAATTATTCTTACGCGGCAGCTGCGGCGGCTTCGGCACACGCCGCTGCCGCTGCGGCAGACGCCATGGCAGCGATGTTGGTGACAGCCGGCTGGGAGGCTCCAGAGCCCTCCGCTACAGGTGACGACACTTTTTCGGTGAGGCGGGCCTCGCTGGCCGGCTTGGCAGGGTCAGGCGGGCGGGCGTCGTCTGCCTGCTTGGCTTTTTCCGACAGTCGGGCTTCGCTGGCCGGCTTCTGGGTGAACCGACTGTCCAGTGCTGAAATAGGCTGGAAAGCAAAACAAAATGACACACGTAAAGAGAAAAACAAAATTCAACATAACTTTCAACTGGAAAATGCTTGTTTTTCTGTCACTGCATCTCAATCAATCTCAGCTGTTGGTAAGTCCTCAATGCTTTCTAAAAGATCCGTACTAAGTCTTATCTTAAACCCTGAGCAATGTGACCTATGCACAACACAGTAGGCCCCAGCAATA